TGAAACATATATATATATATATATATGCTGAACTGGTTTTCCGGGTATTTGATCCGTGTAATAATATCACATACACGGGGTAAATAATATATTTTCGACCCTTAACGTAATGATAATGAAATGAATGATGAGGTTGAATTTTCTGAAATAGCAGATGTCTTAAACATCGAGCAGTTAATTTTAACGACGTTTCCTTTGAATGGCTTGGCTCTGGTTGACCTCAAATTATTTCTGAAAGCTGATAAAGGTTCCCTTTTCCTACGAAAACCCATCTGTTTTGATATCCAACTTATTACATTGGAACTTAACAAAGAAATGAGTGCAACCTTGAAACAATCACCATTATCGATTCACCTACGAAGAAGAATGATGACTCTTCCAAAGAAGAAAGCTGAAGACGTTGAGGAATTTCATATACTTGCTACTAGAAAGTTTCCAAGACGTCGTCACATTATTCAAGGCCTAGATAAAATGTGGGAAATGGATTAAGATTATACGTGGCTGAACAAATCGCAGAATAGCCATCCCACTATAATTATGGTCGTAACTGATTGTTTTTCGACAACATTATGGTGCGTATACCACCATGCGAAAGCGGTCATAGCTTAACGTGTCATCCGAATGCTAAAGTCGATATTATTCAAATATTTCAGCAAGAATGGAATAAATAGATGTCAAATGGGTCGGTTTTGACAGCAAACATAACACTTTGAAAAAGAGCACCGATAAAGTATCACAGCCACAGAGAGAGAGAGAGAGAAAGAGAGAGAGAGAGACACCTACTGATCAGAGTGGAGGGTTAAGCTAACTATTATGAAGTTTTCTACATCGACTTGTCCTTCCCAAAATGAAAGTTCCAAGTAAACCCAAAACTATTAATTCAATGCGCAATCATGGGATATGATTTCTCAGTTCACAACATCACAGAACACAAACCATTGCACACTTTTCATATCTCTTGACCAATACATGAATAAATAAATATAATGAGTCTATTCAGGAACTCCAGCGGAACCAAAACTCTGAAGGAAATCACAATGCACTTTCACTTTCAAAAAAAGTTAATTGATAACCACAATGGAACAATAACCCCTCCTTACTACCATTTGAGGGCATGAAATCCATCAAATCTGATAATACTGAATTTCAAAAATTTCTGGAAAATTTGGAGGATACATTAACATTTGCAAAATTAAATACTCTGTAAAACTAAATACTCTACACAGCTATGGAGTTTATGAAGTTGAAAAGCAAATAAGGACAGGTTTCTTCGATTCAAAATATGTGTATCTCGTATTTTCATTCAGTTGATTCAGAAGTTTCATTATTTCATTATTATGCAATTTTTTTTTCAAAAATTACTGAAATTTGATCGGAGCAAAAGTCAAAAACGCCGTTTTTGAACTTAATGTGCACTAAAATTCGTTGTAAAAAAAGTATAGAAAGCGTTGGAAAATGTGCGTTAAATATGCCTTACCCAATATATTTTGTACTTTTTTCCGCATCAAATCTGACACAAAAATTATGTCGAAATAGTCGCATTTTGACAATCTTTTCGGCAAAAATTTCAAATTGAGATTAGTAATGGCGGAAAACGATGTTTCATATATCAAAATAGCAACAACAACTTTCAACGAACTCAAAATTTTCCATTTCACCGATTTTCTCATGACTGAACCCTCACCAGTCTGGATCAGATCTTGTTTACCAGCAGTAGATCTTTTCAATATTATGATATGATATTTCATATAAATTAGGTGTGGCAATATGGTAATAGATATAGAAAGTACTTCATGGTAGTTCAGGAGCGAGTCTACTGAGGAGATGGATGTCGAGTTCACGACTCCAACGGAACTCCCTGTAAATTTAATTTAGGAGCGAGTCTACAGAGGAGATGGTTGTGAGTTTACGACTCCAACTGACCTCCCTGTAAATTCAGTTCAGGAGCGAATCTACAGAGGACTTCTCAACTCCCCAACTCCTCATCCAACAACTGAACCTCAAAAAAAAAGGTTTGGTGGTGCAGCCAGGAAACGACCGAATCGTCTCCTCAAGAGCGGGGTACCTTATAAAACCGTCTTGCACCAAATTCTTGAGCGGCGTACGCAGAATCTGCCTCAGGTGGAGGAACAAACCCCCCCATGAGCAGGTTAGTAAACGTTTGCGCTCAAGTGATAATTCACCAAAACCAGAGGCGAAAAAGCCCTGAATCTAAGGCATCGTCAGGTGTAGCTGACGTCGTGGGAATCAACTTGGGATTCTTGCAACTTGACAATCCGACTACCTCATTAACAGAGAATATACTTTGTGCCTGCCCCGCTGGAGACCGAATCAGGTATATAGAGTTCGGCAGAGCTGTATTCTTACCATCTGACCTGAAAGATCATTCACCATACAAACTAATCGGCTTCGTTGAGAAGTTTATTTGGCCGAGTGTGAATAGGTGTGAGCCACAATAAATCCTTGCGGGTTGCGGTGGAGGGTCGAATAGATCCACTCACTTTGGATCTAACCTAACCTAACTTCATGGTATCAACTACTGAATTCAAATATAAAAATATTCACAAATATACCTGGGTTCAAGAAGTTTCAATTACTTTCCGATAAGTAAGAATAAATAAATGAAAGATTATTGAAGTTTCGAAATCACAAAAAAAGTTAAAACTGAAATCAATAACTTCTCATATGAGGTCATTTGAAGGAAAGCAGAAAAATGAAGAACACAGGCCACAAATGAAAACAATCGGATTTTAAGTGAAGCATGCGTGAAATTGGATTTCCCTTTATGTCAAAGGGCTAAAATACCTCAAAGTATGTAAAAATTTATGGAAAGCAAGGTTTTCGCTTTCTACGTCTTCAGCTTCATACAAAAGAAATATAGGAGTCTTTCAAAAAAAAAAGAAAGTACTTACTTTAAAAATAAACTCGTCACAAAGATGTGTAGATCTTGCACAGAAGTAACTTTCAGACACAAACTGAAAGAAAAAGCCCTCTCGAAACAACTTCTCACATATAAACATTGAATTACAAGAAAAAAATCACTTTTGAAACAACTACTTTCATATGAACATCGTATTATACAAAAAATACTTTTCCTATTCAGTTTGTACACCAAATATTCGTTACGGAATTGAATCAGATATCATTCACAGGATTGCTACACAATCTGTTGCTACACAAATTGAATTGACTAATAATGAAATTGTATTTTTTTTAGTGTATGTAGTAAAATACTGACGAGGTCATTAGAGGTTACATTCGGGATTTTTTACCGAAAAGAATCTACAAGTTGTTAGTTGCTACGCTTCAAAATTGACTCTAGCTGCTGACAGATTATATTCTCAATATTTTCTTGTTATCTCGAAGATATTTATCTCAATTGATGCATTTTTTATTTTTTGAAATTTTTAGAGGCAGTTGCTGAAAACTTAACTGTGCTTTTTTCCACTCGAGGAGACGTCGAGATCGATATACCAAAGAATTTCATTCAGAGTGGAAATAGGTAAGTTGTTCATAACACGATTTTTTTTATTGTAATATGATTGATAAAGTTATTGAGTGCCTGGGGTTTGTTTAATGGAAAATTGATATTTGGAGATTTTTAATTAATTTCCACAATAACTACCGAAAATACAAAAGGGTAACAAGCATTTTCCTATTTTTGCTTGTATGCAAAATACTATTTTGAGTATCGTTTTACGCCCCAATAGCAGCTTACAGTGGAGCTACAGCCAGTATACAACGTGAAAGATTCAGTATTATAGTTCGTTCAGTATTTTCTGAGAGTAAAAGAATTTCAAGAATGAAAACATGTCGCTACATCAAAGAAAGCAATATAGTCGTCTCAAGCAAATAGCAAAAGCAAAATCATTGATATATGTATACCCTTTATATCCATTCAGGACGCCTCTAACGAGCCATTAAAATAGGGATATGCGACAAAGAGCGCGAAAACACGACAAAGAATGCGAAAATACCGCCAAAAGAATCGCTCGATGTTTTTTCTGATATTACGTTTAAGATAGTATTAATAGGCGTCGGACTAGGAGTATTAATATAAATTTTCCATTGATATATTCTGTATGATGAGAAGATAATTATAGTCTCTCTCATATCTGAACAGACAATAGAAATTGGGCTACGATTAGTATACCTACAAAATATTAAACTCGATAATGTTTTGTAATGTTTTGTTCATGAAATATCAGAAACAGACCACCTACAACCATGTGAATATGTTTTTTACCAATGCCAGATAGTGCTATTTCGATCTGTCATATCAGAAAGAATTGGTATTGAATACTACCTCAACAAAAGTGGCAGTACTAGAAGATGGAAGACAATTTCTGTTAGATTTTGAGCCCAAATAGGAAAATCAACAATCATTCGATTGATTGATGGCAATCAAATAGATTTGCAATCCAAATTAGCCATTAACTTTCGTCTACAAATATAGCCACTGGTTTTTGTAACCCCGAGAAAAATAAATTCAGATGATTTCTGTCGCCGATAATGTGGCTCGAAGAATTAAAAGTACCTGTAAGGCGTATTCTGGTGCTCATGTATTCAAAACGTATTCGTCTGTGATTCAAATACATTCATTCTGGCGTTGAAACGATGACGTCACATCAATTATGATTTGAAACGTATTCATGATGATTCAAAACTACTAGGTGTTTTCTGGCGTTTCATCGTATTTGAGCATGTATTCAAAAACGATTCGTAGTGACGTCATTAATAATGAGACTCGCCAGAATGGAATGATTCAATTTGTGTCAGATGTCAAATTCAATAATATACAAACTTTTCAAAATATGGTAGCTATTCTCCTTCATCTAGTTAACCAACAATATGAAGAAACAAATTAAATGATCAAATCATCTAAAAGAACAATTCGTTCAGGCCAGCCTCAACACCCTACACAGTAGGTTAATGGACTGACACCTATCAGAAAACAACTACTCCCCTGGCTAATACCACGAAGGGCGTTGGATTATATCCGACAGGTGTCAGTGCAGGATTCTTCACTGAAGTTATTCCTGCATATGCTGTTGGCGATACAACTGCCGCAATAGATTTTCAATTATTGG